CTCTCTCTCTCTCTCTCTCTCTCTCTCTCTCTCTCTCTCTCTCCAAGCGCGGCCTTCTGGGCTCCTGATGTAATCTTCCCTATGCCATGGTGGGTGACATCTGACCGCTTAGTCCACCTGGTAGGTACCGGTCGACGATCATTGTCGATCATCTTACATCGGTGAACTTAACCTCATGCTCGGCCCACTGTAGCTTCATTCTGCTTTCGACGATGACGTCCTTCACTCCTTTCTGTTGACTGGTCAGCGTGTTTTTGACGTGGTCGCCACGTGAGATTCCCAGCATTCTTCTTTTCATGACAGAATTTTTCCTACCACTAATTCCCTTGAGCAAGGGATTTACTTCACGTGCTTCAGTGCAGCTGGCCGAGAAACGGGAAGAAAGTCTTTGCATCGCGGTCAATAGGGCCAGCATGATGTTCTGCTGCAGCCCTGTCAGATTTATGGTGCCGTCCTTTCACATGGTTGCACATCATGGTCACTCAGTGCTGGTCTTAAAGCGCAAGCAAATGAATTGTTTTCTCTAATCACTGCTGCCTTCAGCAAGAAATTTGATGCCTCGTTATTCTAGAGAGCTAAAGTATGGAAGTGGCACAACTATATTCAGTTGTGATGCCGGAACATCTCACATTTTCCCGGTTCCGGCGACCGACGTTGAGAAGATCGAATGGGCTTCGTTCGAAGACTGCGACTTGAATGGTCTGTCTTTACTACTCCATGCTGTTTGTAGTTTCTTTGTTGTATCTTTTTTCACAAATCTAGTCTAAATGGGCATATGCGTCTTTGTAAGCTGGCGGCAGTTACATTTGGATGAAATACGATGGAGCGTATTTTCCATAGCAGTTAAAATCTTTCGCATTTCCTGGAATGGTTCAGAAGCAGTGTCATAGAGATTAATCGATCGGCAAGGCACTTTAGAAGTGCAGGATTCAGATCCATTAAAACTCTAAAATCTCTTATTAACTGATAATTGTTTCGAACCAGGAATTCACCTCGCTGTTCTATGTGTAGCTGTTCGAGGCATCAGGAACAGAATTGTGTTCTGGTGTAGTAATGCCAGATAATGCAAAGTGGGCTATATTTTGCATGCATTTTCCCCACCTGGTAGTAGTCTAAATAGGGCTAGAGTAGTCCACAGATAGAAAGTAATGAGACTCAGGAATAAAACGACTCTTAGCCAAGTCTGTAAGGCGAAGAACACTAACTGTAAACTTAGGCTGAAAGGTTCGGGACAGCCGTTCATATTTCGCAAAAATATGATGAAGTTTATCGTCCGTCCACTCTCTGAAATGATGAAGAAAACTCATGGGTGAAATGAGCAAATGTTAAGAAAAGACCTGTTTTGCTCCTGGGATAGTCAGCCCCAACTTCTTGTTGTTTTATCGTTATTCGTGTGGACAGCGGATGATATTTGTCTTGGGTTTTGGCTTACTACTGCTTCTAGCATTTTAAGTGCCGGTTCAGCTTTAATGAGTTGTAACAGCCCTACAGGAGGCAGGTCGCTGTTTGGCCAGTTATGACTACCGGGTTAATTCCCAGTCTAAGACATCTCTTGTGTCATAGTGTAGTTTAGAACCGACCTGCGCAGAATATAGATTTAGCCCGTCTTTGTCAAAAATGTTTGAGGCTATGTTTCTGTTTTGCACTCGACAGTAGCGGGATGTTTTTCTAAGTCTGATCTCAAAGTACAGCAACGCGTAGGTTTCTAATGATGGAAGTACTAAGCTGTCCCTGATTCAAATTTAAAGCAACAACCGATCATATACATATAATATAATAGTTAAATAACCTATGCTGTTATCTTCAATAAGTTAATTTTCAGACCGAATTTTGAGCGACGTGCTGGTTGAAGTATGTGGTCAGCTACCGCCTCTTATAGCGGTTCTAGGATTGGCTCGTGGT